AAAAAAAAAAAAAAAAACCTAAAAATTAAAAAAAGGAGAGGCCGGAGGCCGGCCGCAACAGCGGAGCTGAAAAAAGATAGCCGAAAAAAATTAAAGAGGAAAAAGGTAAAAACGATGGGAGAGGAAATTACAGAGAAGGGAGAGAAAAAAAACTAAAGAGAGAACATGAAAGCATTTTTTTTTACACCTTGAACATTTGATTCCTTAACCTTTTTAAGTAAGAACATTTTAGTATTTACAATCAATATTTTCTCAAATTTTTATTCAATTAATTATGTAAAAGGACACTTGGCATCACTTTAAGGGATAGATATTAGGTATGTACAACACAAGTACAGGGTACCTATTGGCAGAATGGCCCAACTGTTTATATCATAAATAAATGCCACATCTATGAAATGCAGCGATAACTCGGAAACATGTGCTTCCCACAACATAGTACAACAGTAATGCACCATGTACACCAAGCCACTACGTTGAGAACTAAAAGCTTAAGGGCTTGATCAGTTTTGAGGCATCTATGATTCTTTGGCTCCATTCCTTCTTTTCAGACTCTAGCATGGTTGCAAGCGAAACACGGGCCTCGGCAAGTTGATCCTCATTGACTATCGAGTCTGTTTTAAGGACAAATATTACTTCATTCACATCTTCCTCAAGCTGCAGGTGAAAAATATTTCTAAACACCTGCATATTTATACGTGTGAAAACAATTTATACGTGTGAAAAAAGCGAGCATAATCAGAATAAGACATTTTCAGAATCATAATTGTTACATCTCACCGCTTTCAATCTCAAATATATTGCACCCTTCACAGTAGAGGACCTTGAGACCAAATTAATGATAAATAGACCTCGCTCAGAAAGTGAATCTTTTACAGTCAAGAGAAAAGATTCCTCGACAAAATCTACCGCGGGACAGGTCAAACCAGAACTGCACAGCAAGACTACATATCAGGCGAAATAATTTAGAACAAATATAATTTATGATTCGATTAGAAAGCATCATTACCTTGAGTCTGACGAATCCACATCAACAATGAGTATATCAACTTTGCTCAAGCTTTTTCCTTCCGGATCAACTACAAAGCAACCATTCAATTTCTTATTATAGAGCATATAATCTTTGTTCACTACAACCATCTATTGTTCCTACATTACCTGCATCAGACTGAGCTATCTCCCTCACAAATTTAATTCCATCGGTGATATTTACCTGAGCAGGAAAGAAGAAAACAAAACCACATTTGCAATTTTTTTCATAACGTAAATAAATTCGGAGGCTAAATGAAAAAAAAGAAAAAACTTCAAGTATGAACGTAAAATCAATCAATTCAAAGTTTATAATCTTTACAAGTGAATTCCACTAGGAGTTCTATTTTTTTTTTTTTTTTTTTTTTGAACATATAATAGAAGAGTTCTAAATTTCTCTACTAGACTGGCCTGTCTTAATCCCTTTTTTCCATAGAAACAACAGTATGGCTCATGACATAGAATGATGAGTTCAACACAATAAACACACTTCCTAGTGAAAAAAGCTAAACTTAACACCGGGTTAGAGCCAGGATAAGTTTCTCAGAAGCACGTGAAAGAAAACCCTGCTTTTGCATATTTTGATTTCTATTTAGATGGTAAGCCAACAGGCCAAGAATTAATATAATACTAATAGTTACCTTTAAGCATTCATCTTCCCTAAAACCAAAATATTCTCTGGCAACATCCAAAATTACAGGATCTAACTCGACCACCTGTCAAATTACTATTTCACATGAGAACAAGATGGGAAACAAAAATTTCATATAGCAACTTACTAAATTTCATTGTACCTCAATCATCAGAGAAGGAATGCAATTCTTCATAAACATAGGAAGCAGTCCAGCTCCTAGACCAATAACCACAGTTCGGACCTGGAACAGAGGGAACAACGTTCAAGTTGAAACCTCAAATACAAACGCTACAAGCCCACATGTGGACTTTTCCAAGGTGAGGCACCACACCAGTTGGCATAGGCTTGGCATAGGCAGAGCCCCTTTGGGGCATATATCCAGTTTATAGAGACATTGATCATATAAGAAAATGATTAAATTTTTCTTTGGCCCAGACCAAAGCAAAACCATCACAACAGTTTAAATGACAAATAATAATCACAATCCACACGACCCATTTAGATAGGTTTGCCTACTTGTTTGGAGCTAAACAAAAAGAGGTAATAACTTGTGTGTGCTTTCAAGGGTATGTACAAGCTCACCATGCCCCCATCTGATCTACATCCTTTCAAATGTAAAGAAATCAACATCAATCCCGAAATAATCCCATTGTGGTATGAGCTTGCAAGATAGTTGTGAACAACTTTTGTTTCACCGCTTGATGCTGATAAGAAAGATAAAATACTAGTTAATAACGACAAAAGGATAAACATAGTTTCAACATTTTGGCAATTTATCAGTAATGAAAAACAAGGGACAGTGTAAAATGAAAATCAAGAGTCCTCATGTCAGAAATCATTTTAGCATGTAAAGACCCTTGATATATGATGTAAAGACGGATTTAAAAGTTGTTCCATGTGATCTAAATTGCATAAGCAATATAGTAATATTCGTGCTACAGCAACCTGAAAAAGGCATAAGTAGAATTTCTTCTAAGCTCATGAGCACAATACTCGCATCATCCGTCAAGTGGAAAGGCATTTTTCATCTCCGAGAGAAAAACACACCATTCATATAATCACTTTTTCTCTCGATTTTCTCAATATGATTTTGATATAAACCAAACATTACTATACATTTCCCAAAAAGTTTACTATTCATCCATCTACATGTTTCTAACTACCATTCGTTATTTTACTATTTCCCTATCACATCATTTTAAATTATTACTCTTTCATCTTGCATCATTTCACCATTATAAAAGTAATAGTCTAACTACAAATATTTATTCCATTGATACAAAATATATCATACAAAAGCACATCCAATCTCGCTTTAAGAAGTTAACAACTGGGAAAATCATGAGACCCTTACCATGAGAAGCTGATCTGTTAGAGTCAGATTTCCTATGCTTTCCTTTTTTTCGAGTTTTTGGAACTGCTTGAACTTTCTTATTCTCTGCTTCAGTAAAAAGTCCATCAGATCCTTCCTTTGCTAAGAGAGCTTCAGATTGCACCAAATTCTCAGATCTATGGAAAATAAGGCGACGGAATAACAATTCTTTAGATAGAGACTGACGATGAAGATCATCAGCAATCTTCTCATAAATGACATCCTCGACCATTATTGGACCAGTCAAGGCAGATGTAACCTGGATTAACAAAAGGAAAGAAACAGTCGAAGAGAGGTGAGACTATATCACAAAAGAAAGACAGATTTGCATTCAAGAGAAATGAATCCCTTCATCTGCAATGCAGTCTACCAGATACATAGAAATGACTATCCTATATTAAGTAGATACCCCTTAGAACCTTAGTAGTTTTCTCTGGCCAATGTTAGTGTAGCCAATTTAGGCTTGGGTTTTTGCGTAATAAATGCTATTCTTTCGGTTGAATGAGAATCATGTTTAATTAAATGCTTCTATATTCTGATGTTTTATACTTAGATAATTATGGTTCATCATGGATGGACAGAAGATCATATTATGAGTTACTTATAAAACATAGATAATTGGTTCTCAATCTAGATAAAATTGAACAACCCGACGCGAACGGTTGTAGCGTTAGCACTAGTACACTTTGAGTGGACTGAACGAATCCTTGGAGTATAAATTTAATTTATACTGACCAAATAATAAACTAGACCTGGTTATGATGTGTACCCGTAAGATAATAACGGATACGTGCACTCAGTAGCTAAAACTTCGATTCACTAAAAAGTGAGACCCATTCTGCTGGGTCATTAGTCTGTGTGAGTTGAGTAGAAATGTTTTTATAGTGTGTCGTTCGACTGCTTATAATCACAGTGTGCATTACTTTTATGATGACCCGAAGTGAGCTCAAGAAAGATTGTTATGTCAAGCCTAGGCGGATTCTTGGCTCCGACATCATATTAAAGAACTGCGTAGTACTAGCTTCGGATCAAGAAGTCAATAATTATAGTGCCAATAATTAAATTAATTGAAGGACATTATATATTAAACACGAGGAGATAAATCGAGTAACTATATTGGAGCCTCAAAAGTAAATTAGAAGTTAAATGGGGATGTAGACATCGAAATTTTAATATTTTATTAATTAATGTCATTATTTATTTTTGGACATAAATTCAAGATAAATACGATATTTATGTAATAAAGTTATTATTTCTTGCCCACCAAGTCAAATCTTATGATAAGGAAAGAGATTATATCAAATCTTAGGATTAAAAAAGATATTATATCAAAATCATAAAGGACCAATCAAATTGATGTCTTCTTCGCCAAGAGTCTCTCTACTACACCTATAAATAGGGCTCTCCTCAGTGCCACAAATCACACCTCAAAATATCAAACACATCTCAAAAATTAAAAAAAAAAAAAAAAAAAAATCTCAAATTCAAGAGCTCTCAAAAATCCTCTTGAAGATTTGAAGAAGTTAATTAAAGAACCGCCCGAAGTCCGTTCAATGAAGAAGAAGGTCAAGAAGAAGAAAAAGAGGCGGCGACTCTTCCCCAAGAAGTAAAGAGACGACTTCAACTCCTCTCAAATCAATCCAAGAATATCAACGACGTTCAAGCGACGTTCAAGCCGCGTTCGTTGAGAAGTTCAACCAACATAGCGTTTGGTCCGAGAAAAAGCTATCAAGCCCTCGAGTCAACGTTATTTGAGTCAAATTCCCTCTTTCAAAAAGATCAAAGAATCAAGTCTTCAAAAATCTTTTTCAATCAAATCAATACCTAATATGGGAATAAGTCATTCGACCCTCAAATTAATGTTACAGAAATTTAATCTCAAGCATGAAGGAGATTCAATCGTCAAATCCATCTTTCAAGATCTCAAACACAAATCCATGAAGAGAAAAATCAGAGGAGATAAATAGAGATTGTAGACGCAATATCATTTAATCGAAATAAAATCAAGTTGTACAAAAGTTTTATGTTTTTCATAAATTTTGTTATTACGTTCAACAATATTTCTTTAGTGTACTGAAATATTATTCAAGTATTGGATGGAGTAGGTCTGGCCCACAGTTGGGTCCATACTTGGGAAGCCTATATTTAGCACCTCTTTAGGGTCAAAACACGCCCCTCTCATATTCACACGTATGTTCTGAGAGTTCTTATGAGTTTGGAATATCATCGCGATCGTCGCCCACCAAGACACACGAGGAAGTGTTGGAACATATAACAGAAGTCCCCATGTCTTCCGAGGCAACACCACTTGACAGCCTCGGCGCACCACCGCGAGCGGTCCCTGTTAGCCTTAGCGCAGCACCGTGTAGCCCTGGCACAACGCACAAGCAGTCGCGCACGAGCATCTGAGGCGCGATCAGCAGCCGAGCAGCGACGCGCAATCCCCAATCAGGCACGACTCACAACCACAACCAGGACAACTCGACGCGCGCAATTGGCGAGAAGCGAAGACCAACACAAGACCGAAGGCGAGGCGTGACGACAAGGTGAGAAAATCCGTTCATTCGGCCCCGTAGGCTATGTAGTATGTACAGATGCAAAAGTCTTAACCCGTAAGTGTTCAAAGTTCCGTTGCACTTAGGTTTACTTTGAAGGCTAATTCGTGGCTTGCATAAAATTCGACGGTCATAAAATTCTAACAACAACCGAAATCCCATGATTATATCTTTTCTTTTCTTTTTTTTTTTTCTTTTCTTTTTGCGACTATTTGATCAATTTGTGGATTTCAGAGATCTTTTAGGATCATGAAATCCATGATCCTCAAGGATAGGGCAACTTTAATCTTTTGTAACTAGGTTCACTCTGCACAAGCCCCAAGTTAACGGAATGTTGAGTGAACTTCTATGCTCCAAGATGGTTTACCCGTTTACCAATTCTTCTTATCAACAAAGTATCTAGTCAATAGCAAATAAAATAAGGAATTTCATCTACACTATATTTAAAAATCCTTCTTATGTATGTTTCATAGCCTTTGCCGGCTAGCTTCCACATTGCTCCGCATAGATATGTATATGTAAACTTGCATTTAAGGTCCCATTACATGGACTTCAACATTTCTGTACCAAAGATAACTTTCACAACAGATCAGATTTAAAAAGGAACAGGCCACAAAAAGCTTTCAGTTAATGGATAGTAGCAGCCATGAAATATTATGAAAGCACCAGTAAAAGGAAAAATTCTATTTGCTTCAATATAAGTCAAAATTATCAGTGTCCGCAAAACTATAAATACAAAGCTTTTTATCACAGTATTCAAATGTGTTTAACTCTATTAGTTAATCTTTCGCTTGAAAAAATAACAAATGCAATTTTAGACATCTTATAAAATGAAACAATAGAAAGAATAATAGAACCTGGTGCACAATCTCGCTCTGTGTAATCCCATCACTAGCAGCCATAAACCTACACAAGGTTCAACGATGAGCTATTGCAAATTAAGAGTGGAACAAAGCGAATCAGTTTCGATTTTAAAGGATTTCGGAGTTCAACTCATTTCTTCTGGTTTTTAGTCATGTACAAGCAAAATACATCATGCAGCCATAAAAGATGGCATGACGTTCAAGAGAACTTAAGCATAATATAGTTGTTTAAAGGTTGCCCTTGTAGCTTTTGAGATGCAAAAAGTGACTGCATAATTTTGTTGACTATTTGACATTACATTTGATTCTTGATGATTAATATAAGTATTTGATAGTTTAATATTGTTTAATATTATTCATTATGACGTTTTTCATGGTCTTTAGAAGAATATAGGTATATATAGCACGCTTTCTAGCTTTTGTCACCTTCCATGGATAGGTTCTCGCATCATATTACATACACCATCAGGTGACAAGCAATAACTCGATACCTTGACAGTGAAGCCCAAAAGAGACGAAGAAATGCTAAAATGGTGGCACCAAATGATGAAAACTACTAAGCAACTAATAGAAATATACGCCACCATGTAAACGACATATCTAAGATAAAAAATAATGAATAAGAAACTGTCAACTAAAATATGGCAATATATACCCTCTCAATGGATAAACGATAGTTGCTGATACTTACGGAATTGGAACTCCATCATCACAATTTCTTGGAGCCAATTGCTTGACTAAAGGGGAAAGATCCTTCTGAATAAGGATATAAACAAAGTTACAGATCGTATACATTTATAGCAAGCAAGACAGGCCCATTACAGGAGATGAAATTAAATATTACCTGGATATCCTCCATGGGAGCATTAGAATTGCTGGAGTCCAGTAAAATCTACAAGCATTGCATAACCTTAAAATAAATATATTGAGTTTAAAGAAACAAGATGACTGTCTTAAATTCTTCGAAGATAGAAACTTGCCATCAGCAATCTAGCAGCCTTTGAGCTTACAACAACGAGCCATTGTCCTTCTTCAGATGAAAAGAGCCACTCATGAGCTCGCATCTGAAATATTGACTTCAATGATATACCAGTTTTGAATAAAAGATATACTAAACTAACACCACATCCCAATTATTCAGCAAGCAAAGAAGGGACACCTTCGACTGACCAAAGAAACAGAACCAAATTCCTAGGTAGAGATACTTGAAAAGAAAGAAAGGACAAGAAAGAACTATGCTATTTGAAACAGCAAATTTTAGCATTAAAGTCATCGGGTAAGAAAGGAACAAAATCTAACGAACTCAGAGCTTTTATCGAATAAATTCGTGAAAGTTGTTATCGGGATGCCACATTATCACTCATAAAAAGAAGTGTTACTTTGTCAGAACAACTCCAGTCTTATAGGCCCCAAACTAGATGTTGAAATTTGACTCATAAGCTTGGACTGCACAACTTTATAGTGTGTATTTAAGCAAAACTATCTTCGCATTCTCAGTAAAATATCAATCAGATATCAACCTATAATAAAACTTATAAGTACAAAGGCTTCTGAGAAGCAAAATGGAATGCTGAAATTTGACTCAATTCAGGTTATAAAACTTCTATATAAAGTCATGCAACAACGATCTTCATCCCTGTTTTATTATTTTTTTTTTTTTCTTTTGATTGAGCAAAAATACAAATTTCAAAGTACAAGTAAACTTACAAGAAGAAAGACCTCTATAATAGCACCATCTATAAGAAACTTCAATAGTAGGAGAAATGAAAGGAACTAACCTTTGGAACAATGAATACACCAAAATGATATGAAAATGCTCCTGAATCTGGCTGAGCATCAAGAAGTACACCATTGTAAATGAATCGAGATACTCCAGGTTCACCTAAAGTGAGCTTTATCCTCCGCCCCGGTTCAAGCTCAGTAAGGTCTCCTTTTGTCCCTAGGTTCAGGTCTTCAAGAGAGTACATTATATCAGAACCACTCGAGTACTCTGAGCGAACTCTTTTTTCTCTTTCAAGTGCTTCATATAGTTGACGAGCCTATAACATTTCATTTTTGCGTATGGTAAAGACAAAAATTATTGTTTAGTTGAGGTAGCAAGGAGCACTAAAAGCACTTATGAGCATGTGAGTGGCAGACAGAAATTGCAATGAAAAATGATGTGAAGTCAGTTTGTTCAGAATCCTGACTAAATGCATTCATCCTTTCTTTCGATTTGCCTATCATTCAAGGGGGGCGCAGGCGTGAAAGAAAAGGCTAAAGTGCATATTACCTGATCTCCATGAGATTGAACAGATTTTTCATCCACGGATGACGATATCTCGGAAATAACGCAAGAACTATCTTTCTCAGCAACCACCATAAATGTCTGTAGTTTTAAGCTTTTGGGAGATGGTTCCTGATCAATGGCATAAACACTCATTTTCCACCCAAATCGAAACTTGGGAAAAAGTAGATCTGAGGAGAAGTCATATGATGAAAACGAATCAACTTAAAGTTGTATACAACAATACAAAGTTTGATCGAGGAAGTAGTATAAGGATACAACATACTCGTGTGTATCCAAATCGTATATTCACATTCACCAAAAAAAAAAAAAAAA